CACACATGTGTGCGCGGTTCCCCGTCCGCGGGTACGGGAAGGCGTGTCGACGCGTGGTTCCTCTGCGGGTCGGCACGCGGGGCTCTTCCCACGCGATCGAGTCGAGTGCAAATGAGCCCCGAGTTCGCACCTCTGTGTGTGTGTGTGTGTGTGTGTGTGTGTGTGTGTGTGTGTGTGTGTGTGTGTGTGTGTGTGTGTGTGTGTGTGTGTGTGTGTGTGCGTGTGCGTGTGCGCGTGTGCGTGTGCGTGTGCGCGCGTGTGTGTGTGTGTGTGTGTGTGTGTGTGTGTGTGTGTGATTCGTGCTGAAATTGTTACAGGGAACAGTCCTGCCTCCGCGACCATTCAGCTATATGATGTGTGTATGTGACATGGCGGGTGTGCGGCATAATGAATATTCGGTGTACAAAAACTAGGACGACTGTTGAGATTCGCCTTCAAAAATAGAAAATGCTAACCTGGCTTTGTTTTAACCGTGCCGCAATGCCGCAGTGAAACGAATGCCTAAACGTTCAAATGGTCTTACGTTGGCCATTTCAACTATCTGATAGAATGCCTACTGCAAGTGCAGTGGCGATGTGGCCACTACGCCTTAACTCCTTTCGCGAATCAGCAAAGGGCCCACTATGACTCCGTAGAATAATACCCCTTTCACACTTGGCAACAGGAATGCACGTGGAGCGAGTGCCCTTGCGATCTTATAGTATCACTTTGGTGGTACGCTGCTACATGAGAAAACGAAGTTTTAGAAATCATGGCAGCGGCAATTCGCGGATCTCAAACGCAACATATATTTGTTATTTTTGCGCCCGTGTCTCATCGTCGGACCACGTTGTTTTCCACCTGTGGCACAGGCCATCGTAATTGACTAGAGAACGACTCACCAACGCATGTGCGAGTGTGGAAGGAAGCAAACAACACGACGTACGCCGCCATTGGACGACATGCGCTGCCACATCTTTCTAGCGGACGTAGCTGCGAGCTGCCCGAGGGCGTTAGTAGCGAGGTTTTCGGAGATTGCTTGTCAGGCTACCTTCGTGCCTTGTCCGTTGTCGGCGATGTGTACAATAGTTCTGAATCTTGCCCATAAAGGCGCCACTGTGCTCTCTCGCGAGCTTCCAAGCCTCAGAACGGTGCAGGCCTTAGAATGCGTAGTTGTAAAGAGATATTAAAAAAAAAGAAGAAGAAAAGTGCACATGCTGTAGGGGAGCTAAGGATTCCTAGGTTTACAGCAATCCATGTTACTTATCAGGGAGCGCGTCTTCCTACATTGCTCTGTCGATTCCGCTTGTTACCAGTACAGACATTTCTAAAATTTTACAGCTTACCAATGAGAAGAGCTGAATACGTTTTTATCAGTGATTTAGATTCGTTCTTTTTGTTTTCATACACCGTTTTCATACACTGCAGATAATCTATGTACAAAAGAAACTGACAAGTATAAATTTCAACATTAGTGACGTAATTGCTTCTGATATCTCAAACCATATTCTTAATATAGAATATGATGAGATCTTTCCTCCACAATCTAAATTTCAATCCCGCCAATTCTTAGAGAACAGGCTAGCAGATTTCCTACAGCATACACAGACATGGAACATACTAGCCTCAGATGCTTCCGTCAATGAGGAAAGGGCAGGCGTAGGAATAGTCTCCCAATCACTTGGCTGGTCATTTACTGTAAGGATACCTGATTTCACTCCTGTTTTTGAGGCGCAGCTAATGGCAGTCGTCATGGCACTGCGAAAACTTCGGCAGAATGAGAACAGAGCAATAATAATTACTGATTCGCTCTCGGCATCCACAGCTCTTACAACTTCTCATACCTCTCGTGCCATCACGACGCTATGATCTTTAGTTCCGTCTCAGCTGAAGTACCTAAAGTTAGTATGGGTACCAAATTACTGTCGGTTATGGCCGACGCTTTAGTCCGCTCATCGCTAGATTTCCCAATAATTCAGGTTCTCCCAGTGGTAGAATACTTCACCGCAATCAGGTTTAGAAGATCAGCTATTCACACAGATAGGATGGAAGCAGTAACCACGTGGATGGAATAAAATCACCTAAAATACCCATGGAGATCGCAGTGGAGCCATTCTCGACAATCAAAAGTGATGATCACCAGATTTCGATGTCGTGTCCCCCCATTAAACTTTTACTGGTACAGGGCTGTTCTGACGATATCACCCCTCTGCCAATTCTGCGGAGAACTGGAAAATATCGCACATTACTTTTTGACATGTGCAAGATATTCTCGTTTCAGAACTCGATTTCTAATTGCTCCCTTTACAGAAATAGGCTTGACCTTATCGGAGAAAAATGTTTTAGGCTTCGGTGCCTCAGGCTTGGCATACTGCCTCAGGGATGCATTTGATGCCGTGTGTAATTTCATTATAAATACTCAAGGAGGGCCATTTTAAGCAGGTATTTAAAAATTCTTCGTCATTTCGTTAGGTTTAAGTTTCTAAATAATTTCCGTCAGGTTATTTTGGAGTACAGGCTCAAAAGCATATTACTTGCAGTTAAATTGAATATTTTGCGTATATTTGCCATTTCATTTCCTTATTTTTAGTTTAAAATTTTATAGCTTACCTTAAATAACAATTACCAGTCTCTACGTTGCATTCTTGGCCAATCCCCCAAAGTTGGTACGTGCCATGTAACTAGGATAGCAAAGCAAAGCAAAGCAAGCAAAGGAAAGATAGAACATGTTTTGGTTGAACGTAATGATATCAACCCAAGCATACGTGTGGGTACGAGCCTACAAGAGGCCTTGGGTAATAGGCACAACCTTGGAAAGCTGAACATGTCCGCTATAGAAGCAAGCAAGGGTAGAGTAATGGTGACAGAAAAGTAGAAAGAAACAACAGCAATAGTGAAGAAAAAGAGATCATCTTAACTAAAGAGGCAGATAGACGGACCATGTATTTATTTTTGCTTTGTTAATATAAGATTGATTTATACACTGTAGATAAGGCTTTAGACCAACATAAAAAGACAGATTCATTTTTATTTTTTTTTCTAGCCTAGTGGCACACATGTAACCGGCCCCACAAGGGGGCACTCGTAGCATCCATCCATACATCCAGCAGCTGCGCTTTCTCCGGTGAGTCTAGGGAGACTGCACGTGCGCGCGTCTCCGTGAAACACGGAGACGCGCGCACATGACGGTTCCCTAGGTTGGATGGATGGATGGATGGATGGATGGATGGATGGATGGATGGATGGATGGATGGATGGATGGATGGATGGATGGATGGATGGATATGGCTCCACCCTTTAGATAGGGCGGTGGCTAGCGCCACCAAGCCGTAATACTTAATGAACCAAAAACTATATTTATTTATTTTTTCTTTAAAAAGTGAGTTTGAGGATTCGTACTTTGCAGTGAAGGGTTTAATTTTCCCTCGTGCCTTGACTTTAGCCACCACTCAGATAACCTCCTTCTAGTAAAGTCTACCCGCTTAAAGTATATTTTGGCCTCCCGGTCCCTAAACCCCAGTGCTTTGAAAAAAGCGTCTTGAACTATAGGGTAAAGCTCTTTACAGCTGAGTCTCTCAAGCAGCGCCGCCTGCTGCCGGCGCCGCGTGCTCTACTTAGGTGACCACTAGAGGGCTGCACCTGTATAGATGTTTTTTTTTTTGGGGGGGGGGGGGGGGGGTGTTGCCGCCATCTTGCTAGTGGGCGGCCCTTTTCTGGTCTGGCAACCCATCTGGCATGCGGGAAAATCACTGTTTACATAGAAGGTATACGTGCGGCTGCGGTTTTATCGTTCCGCTTTAGTTTTTACGCGGTGAGTTTCGACTGAAGGGACGCAGGTTCTTTAGAAAATCAGTCTATGAGATGTTCTGGCTAGGTTCGAGTCGCCGAGGGTCAATTCTTTTGTTATACAGTGCCGCGAAGGAGTTCGCCTCCATTGATGCACCGACTTTCTGCTCGAAGAATGCGTAGTATTTTCAGGTCTTTCTTTTCCAGAGTAAGCAGCAGCACTTCGAGAGCATAGTAAATATATTTCTTGAGCTGCAGTCGTCCGCTTTTGCAACAAGATTTCTTTACGCCACGTTGTCGCATCGGCTCCCACTCCTACATGAAGCCATGTGTTCAAGTGTATTGGATCGTTTTTATTTCGTGGTACTGACAGTTTTTGTTAGCTGCGCACGTATTTGTATAAATTGTTTCTCAACTCTCAAAGAGTGACCATATCTTACTCGCTCGTTTGTTCTTACAGGTGTGCACTTCAATACAGCTCATACATCAAACGACGCTGACATGCCTGCGCGTCACCTTTTTATGTTCTTTCTTTTTAATCGCGATATTTGAGCGACTCTCAGTGCCGCGGTACTTTGACCTGTGATAAAAAGAAATGTTTTGTGGGGCTGTTTATTGGAGAAATATTGTCATCATTGGAATACCAGTTGGCTGCGTACTTTCCGTTCATAGCCGAGGTTGAGCATCAGTGTCGTACTCGTTGCGGTTGGTTCACCTGAGAAGAAATGCTCTGAACATACCTGAGCACCCGCAGAATGTACAAAGTTTTTCCTGTTCAAGTTTGCAAGCCATAGAAGCTGCTGCTCCTCGTCATCAAAAAAAAAAAACAATAAAACTTGAAGATTCCACAGCCACAAGAAACTGCACGTCTGGTGATGCACATGGCATACCTCTTCTGACAGCAGTTTTTTTTTTAATTTGTTACTGCACCAAAAAACAGCGCAGTGGTTTCCTGATGACCAATTTTTGGCCGTCATAGCAATGAAAACAAAAACAAAAAACGAAACCCACAGGTTGGCTTAATACACGCCGAATTGCTCAAAAACGCCACACATACCACAATCAATACAAACACTCCAAGCTATCACCCGCATGCTAGAGAGGAGGAATGCGTTGGTTGCCAAACTGGACCTCCTCGTCCAATGCAAAGGTCTATACTGCGCTCGCGTTTGGCGCGCTTCCTTTCTCTTCGCTGGGAGCTCACTCAGTGAACACTCTTTGTTACCGCTCCGCAGTGTGAACCCCCCAGAAGCGAAGGCATCAACGCGGCGGGCTCGCAACACACCAGCAGCTCGGGCTCTCCGCCAAGACCTTGCGGCGTGAACCTGGGAGGCCGAGGTGAAGAGGGCTCGTCGTCAAGCTAACCCGGAGATGCAGCCCAGTGAAGCAAAAGTGAAGCGGGTGCGCCGTCAAGCACACACGCCACGTCTTTATGTGATGGTAAAGGAATGTGTACGGAGGATTCACGGGTTAACCCTCTAACACCATTCACTTGGTCGATATGGCAGTGACTTCTTGTTGCATTATGACTTGTTTCAAATAATAGTTATATTCATAACAAAAAAACGAAACAAGGGTTTAAAATACTATCAGCGCCACTTTATGTGACAACAAATTTCTTCAAGCCCCTGCTGCCGATGCTAAACACTCGGTCGCAGCGAAGTGTAGTTAGCGAACGCACTTGCTAGCAAGTGTACTTTTCAGTGAGTTACAGTAAGCTTACTGATGTGGTAGCATGCAAATGGCACTCACTTAAAGTGCACTTTTCACGTGACATGCGAACCTACGCAGCTGCTCACTTTGTTGACGCATTCGCTAATGATGGGTAAATGCATCTACTCGCTTTGTGAAGGGTTGGCCTGTACACGCCCACTCGTAGCATACCTCACATGTTTTGATGCCTGTCGCGATGGTATGCTTCTGTCACGCAAGATTACATGCGTTAAAGAGGCTTCTTCCACAACATAACATTATTATAGCGCTTTTTTAAGGGAAGTTGTACACGAGCCCAAAAAGAACACGTAGCCCCGAGAATTCATTTAAAACGCTGTAATAGCGGAGCTGGGTGCGTTTTATCATCGAAACAGCCCCTGCGAAGCTACTGCAATCGGCCAGCTTCACTGTTTCCTAAGCTTACACGGCTAGTGCGATCTTCGTTTTCTTTCTTCTTTTTCGAAGAAGTTTTCAGCAATGATGCCGCTCTTGGGAACAACACTTGCTTGCGACGCAGAAGGCCTAGGTTCTATACTCACTCAAACCAATTCTTTATTTATATCAATCGCACATTTTCCCTTTCTTTTTTTTTTTCAAGTGCGCAATGGTGTTCTTCTGGGCCGATATCTTCGTATTGGTATGGAGGAGCCTTAATGGAGCTCATCTTAACAGCAGCAGTCGTATTTTAGGTAAAGACCCTTCCTTGAAAACGTTGCAAGCGCAACATTCAAATCGTACAAAACTTTCAAAGACAGTTGTGCGCTTCTGCCTCTACAGGCAGGCTGGAGTTCCCGTGAGAGAGGAAAAGAGTACAACATTAAGCGAGCACCCGTTCCGAGTACTCCAACCCCTTGTTGCGAAGCTAGGTGCCCAACGAACAACACGACGGAGCTCAATTTTGAAAAGAAAGGCAAGCCAAATAGAGGGACAGAAAGCAAGGTCAAAGAGACAAAGACCACCGAATACGCACACGCTCGCAGTGCGTCATCGTTACATCGGAAACCGCCTTCCAGGGCATAGCTGCTTCTTTTTCCTCTCGAAGAAAATATGGCCCGGCAATTCACTCGCTTTCTTTCAGGCCCCTCAGAGAAAGAAACGAGAGGGAAAGAGGGAAAAGAAAGATCGATCAAGACAAGACGAAGAGGCTTCGCGTGCGTACCAGGATGCGCGGCGTATTGCGCAGACCCATGGGAGAAGTTTCAATCGGCCCGTGATTCTTCTACTCTTATTCCACCGGGGCACCGTTCCCGCTCCATTGGACAAGAGCGAACTTACAAATGCGAGCCACAATCACAAAAGCTGGGCGGATCAAAACGAAATGCGACTGCGCTCTCCGCAGACGAGCCGAGCGCGGGCCGCCGGACTTGACAGCTGTCCGAGCTAATTCCGCGCGTGCTCGAGGTGACGGTGCGGCTCGGCACAAAACCGCAGGGAGAGAGCCATTCATCTCGCCTACCACGGCAATGACTTTGTCCGGGGCCAACAGTGCCACGCGTGGACTGCACCAGCCGACACGGGGCAGTACAACAAACCGTTTCGGCGAGGTACCGGCGACGGCTCAGCCGAGGTCGGCAGCTCGGCCGACCGCTGTCCCTCCTCTCGCGATGAGCCAGCAGGGAGAGTGTGGGGCCTCGAAAAGGCGACGTCTTCCATCGGCGCCGCCGTCGCTCCATCTTTCTAAGCGGCGGCCGATGGTACACACGGAGCAGAGACGCCCCAATACATTCGCAATTCCCCGGTCAGGGCTATTAGAAGAAAGACCTCGCGGGGATACGAGGAAGGCTCTGTCGGGCGACGGATAGAAAGCTCAAAATCCGGTCGGTGAGAAGAATGGGCGATTCCGAACGAATGGCTGGGCGTGGCGTCGAACGGCCTCCGCTCGGGGCTGCTGCTGCTGCTCGCGGCAGGAGAGAAACCGCGTCGACGTGTTGCGCGCAAGGAAGGGTCAGGGACCTTGGCTGGGTCAACGTGCCAGCTTTCTCCGCGAGCCAGCCTGCAGGAGGGCCCCCCGATCGCTGTCGTCTCGTAATGAGGCTGTCACGAGGAGCGATCGACTTCTGTCCGAGCCCCCTTGCGCGCACGTAATCAGGCGGCGCCTAATTGAAGCGTCTTAGGGGCGTTTAGCGGACGCGCCTTCTTCCTCTCGCTCGTGCGAGCCGGTAGTCGTCGTAGCCGTCGGGCGATGTCGCGACGGGTGACGACGCTGCGAGGTATTATATTATATACGTGGCAGGGTGTGTGTGTGTGTGGTGCGTGTAACCGAGGCAGCGAAATGAGCGTGAAACAAGGAGAAGCAGATACGAGGCGAGGCTGCCGGCCGTCCACATTCCGGGGGTGATGGAGCCTCGCCGTCTTCGTGGCTTGGCCGAGGTGCTGCTGGCGCGCGATGATCGCTGACGACAGGGCCCTTCTCGCTGGGCAGAGCACGGAATCGTTCGCTGCCAAGGTGCGCGTGTGGTGGTTTATTTGGTGTTTTTTTCTTACGCACGAAGAGGGGCATAGAAGATGGGGCAAGCAACGCTCAAATGAGCGCTTGGGGGCGTGCGGCTTTAATCAGCACCCGCAAGGCAAATACGGCGGATGCGGACAAGATCACCTGTAGCTTAGTATACCAATGAGAGAAAGCAAAGGACTGGTACGTGGAATGCTGGGCTATAGTACGGTAGTGCTTACGCAGGTAATTTATATATAATAAAGGATTATTTGTTGCCACCCTGGATACGCAAGGCAGATTATTATATACGGTGGTCGCCAACACCACCAGAGAAAGTCTTTGCTGAGACTGCTGCTCCCTTGACCTCATCACTTGAGAAATGCGATGCAGTAAGACCTCAGTGTGCTATAATTTTTGTATGTGGCAAATTTTAGCGACGCAGTTTCAGTATTCTCACGCGTATGCATCAGACCTAAAACAGTAAAATCATTAACGAAAAGAGTGACCTTATTTCTCGATTGTAGCAACGGTCTTTAACGTAAGCAGCACTGGTATGTCTTAGAAAACTTAAAATTCATCGACGTTAATTCAAGTGTTGCTACTGATAAACAAATTAAAGCAATCTGGCATAAGGCCACCGGAGTCCAAACCCAAGTGCTTAACCATTATGCTACCACGTCAAATAAAAACTTTGACATCCGACGAAACTGACATAGAAGTTCGCTGGTTAAGCTCTGCGTTGTGGAACACAGGACGTACGACAAAGTCAGAAGAACGTCATGGGATCTCACGCCTTTCTATAATGAATGACGGCCCATTATGTGAATTTGGCGGGTGCAGCAAAACAATTCCGTGCACTCTTTTGAAGCGTTTATTTACGCACTGCAGGCACTTTCAGCATCTATCGGCCTTCCTTTTTCTATATCTTTCTCTATCTACGTGCCTATCTCTCTATCTCTCTAGCCGCTTACGTTTGGGTGCTTTCACCATCACCCCCTTGGGGCAAACCAAAATCAGCATGGGAGGGTAAGATCGCCTAACGAGTACGACTCGCTGGCCATGACATGAATAATTCACAATCCCGCCGCGAAAGCTGCCAAACACATGCCGCCAGACAGTGGCACGTACCCTCGGGCGTGTATGTGCCACTGGTATGCAGGTATGTGCCACAGGTGAGTAACAGTTTTATAAACCCGGCCATGCCGAGAACAGGCATGGATAAATTAGCGTGAGAGCGTTAAGAAAAGTGGAAATCTGCAGCATTTACCTCATTGATGCAAAGAATAAATGTCATTGTCCCAGCAGTAATCACACCCTAGCATTCTGCGTGGCACTCAAGCATTCTACCAACAAAGGCATGCTAGGTCTCGGCACTACTTTCTGAATAGACCCTATAATAATGTTCGTGATACGTCAGTTGGGGTTGCAGTGCTGTCTATCCAGTTTTATAAACATTGCATAGTGTCACGTGGTCGTGACGTCGACGAAGGTAGTAATTGGTGAGTTCAAGATGAAGCTGTATATTTGGCCGAACACGTGACCAGTGAAGGGAAATTCGGATACCAGCAATACACACTAGTGGTGAATCGGCTGTCGATCAACTGGTCATCGTTGGAACACGCCGTCTTTAATACATCACGCATCAAATTTTTAGCCTTGTCTCTGGTCATCGCGTAAACTCTGGAATAAGCTTGAGTGCTTGCGTCCGGCGTGCAACCTTAACCAAGAGAGCTATGCTACAACGTAGAGGCTTCTAAACACCCAGTCACGTTTTACGCTGACCATCGCTGACAGTCTTTGTGGGCGTAAACCGAATACAGCATGACTGAAGATAAGCGGGTGGAAATATGTGCTCTTATGATAGAGCCGTCACGTGGGGTTAATCTCAATTGTAGCAAGGTGCCATCCGCTAAAGTTGAGTTATGTGGCAGTGTCCAGGGCTGCCATCTTCGCCAGCTCCCGCGCGCTTCGTATCAGCTACACTCTTAGAAAAAAGGTGGTAGTACTTGCTAACTTTGGGGTAGTAATGGTTTGTCACATATGTTACAACCCTGGTATTAAGTGCAGTTAGTAACGGCAAGGGTGGTAATAGTTACTACCTCTGCTATTACTACGAGGAGTTAGTAACTGTTACTGCCCTAGCCGTTACCACCTATGGGTAGTAACTTTGAAGGTTTCAAGAAAAGAAGTAGTAACCGATACTACCTAGTTCTTTCATTTTAGCATATTGTTTCTCCACTGCTATAATGTTGGCCAATCAATGTCTTATAACCACACCAATTCGTGTAAGAAGCGGGGTGTGCCATGAATGCGAAGAATACATAGACCAAACAGACCAAACAAGTTCACTATTTTTTACGTATACTTGTAGGAAGAAGTAAACGTGGGGTATATATAGCCCCTACTTCGCAGGCCGGGCATATCTGGCACAGGGGAGCACTTCCGTTTCTGGAT